TAATGCAAAAGTATTGCGAGGGAACGCAAAGGTATTGCGAGGGAACGCAAAAGTATTGCTTGGGAAAGCAAAAGAAAAAAAATCCCCCCATGTTCTCGCAGGCTCTGTAAATTATACCTTGTAATGCACTGAACTGAAAGAATAAAACACTTAAATGTGGTAACATTTTTGTTTTAAAGTTATAAAAATTAACTTTAAGCTCCTCTACCAAAACATTTTCTTTGATGCTGGTGAATAAAATCCCTGACAGTTAATCTGTATTTTCTTTCAATGTGAGTAACAAATGACAGTGAATAAGTGATAAAATATTAGTTTGGGTGAATTGAATCCAACTGATAACTCTGCTTTGTAACTGGGTTGGCTAATGTTTTAAAATMAAATATGTTGACACAATCAGTCAAACAGTGCTGTAGACCTTRTACTTTTAAATCATTTTCTTTGCTGTCTTCAATAAACCATAAAAATACTTACAAAAAATATTTCATAATAACTATCTGATCAAAAAGCTTCCAACATTGCTTATTTAACAAGTCTTAAAAAAACTCAAAACCCTCAGGTTTTATGATGAGAAGAAAAAGTCAGGAAAATATTTTCTTTATTATCTGTACCTGAGAGTTCATTTTTGACCACAGTACCCACACTGTGTGTCAATAAACCATAAAAATACTTAGAAAAAATTATTTCATAATAACTTTGTCTAAACAAAAAAGCTTCCAATATTGCTTTAACAAGTCTGAAAAAACTCAAAACCCTCAGGTTTTATGATGAGAAGAAAAAGTCAGGAAAATATTTTCTTTATTATCTGTACCCAAGAGTTCATTTCTGACCACAGTACCCACACTGTGTGTCAAAGAGAAAGATAAAACCTTCCTGAAAAGAGGAACTTCATGTGTTTACCTTTCATTATGTAAATATAAAGTTAATAATCTTTACAACAGGATGAAATTGCAGCCAGGATCTGAAACACAGTGGAGGACTGTAAGAGGAACAGCTCATGCAGATCAGAGCTTTTTTTTTGTTTGAATTATTTTAAAATGAAGGTTTTCTTCCTATTAATTTGGTCTATAAAAATAGTTTTAATTTCAAGTGAACACATTTTAAAGATCATGAAGTTAGTAACAATCTGAGTTTTAGTTATTTTAGAAAAATACCAGTGAAACAAAGAAGCACAAACTCTTCTGAATTTGACCTGCTTTGTCTCATTTCCATCATGGGGTTAGTAAAAGATAYTTCAGCAGAGCATAGATTCAGTCAGCAGCCCACATAAATTTACTGAAAGTTTAGACAGAATAAGTTAAAAAGAAAATGTCCTTAAGAAATATTGACAGTGGTGCATTAAATTAGRTTTACTTCAAAAGTTAAWAATTCACAGATGTCTAAACAATYTAGTKAAACTTTCAGAGGTTCGTGCTTTTTTCTTCTTCTAACAAACAAGCACATTCTAAACAACAAACTATGCAATCTGGCCCTGTCACAGTAAATTGTGTTGTGAAAACTTTGCTATGAATAAATATTCATATTTTCATTTAACTCATTAGCATTCCAGTATGTATACAGCAGTGGGGCGCACCAGTCCGCTAAAGCGCAAATTTGCTAATTGCGGACCTAAATATTTCAATTGCGTTTTAGCAGTCTTACTAATTTTTATAATTCATAAGCGGATTTGCGCTTTCTAAAATTAGAATGCAGTACCGCTAATAAATAATTATCTACCTGTCATTATC